ATTGTGCAGATTCATGAATGAGTGATAGCACGGTTCTAAGTTATCTAACATACATATAGACAATGTTTTTCGCAATATTCTGTAGAAAATATTTCTTTCACGTCGATCTTTCACACATGGTGTACATATACGTGATACGCGAGTGTGGTCAGTTCATATTCCGCGTAAACAGTAGTATAGGTATGTATATTGAATTACGGCCACATTATGCTATTTGTATATTTTCAGTGCAACATCACTGCCCACATCAATAAAATATATAGTACTATTCACGCGTGACAGGGTTACAAGGAACCTGGATGTTATGAGCGCCAGCTACCTCGGTTTCAGCTGTTAGCGTAGACATCGTGCGAGGGTGATACTGTTCCTAAGTTCTCTGATGATCTGCTAAAGAGTGGCGTTGCTTTCCGTCAACGTCGGTCGGTGCGGGTTTTTTCTTTTGTCGAGGATATACAGCAGGACGAGAAGAGCAGAACACAGCAGACTGGCCGAACCAGCGCACAGGAACGATATGACGTAACTCCTGGTGTAATCACGAATTGCACCTAAATCAACGGAAATCGATCAATCGATCTATTAAGTGCCCAATCGATCTATTAATTGCCCAATCAATCCATCTAACCATTAATCAAATATTCGGCCAGCCGATCAGTTGATTAAGTGCGTGATCGATTAATCAATCATGAGAAGGAATCATTTCCTATATTTACAGTAAAGTATGCATAACATTAATTATGTATTGCCAGCTTCATAAAATTAGGAAAACCTAGTGGTAGAGCGACTTGCATGTAGAAGTGAACCATGTACAAATCCTTCGGCAGCAGATAACAAAATCATTCTGAAATATAAAATTCGGTAAGATTATCACTAAGAATGTCGTAAATTGATTTTTACATCCGTACCTGCAATGGGAGCTCCAATTAGACTTCCAATTCCCTCGGCAAACATGAAGTAACCAAAGATGTTGTTGAACTTTTTAATTCCGAAGAGATCTATGACAACGTTTGCCAACGATCCCACCTGCGTACCATAAAATAACCCGAATAGTGTTCCATACAGGGCAAAGACACCGAATGTTCCGCCAGTACTAAACAGCATGCTCGATATTGCATGGCCGGCCACGGATACGGTGTAAACCCAATGGTTAGCGTAGGCTATGTGACGAATAAAAGCGGTCAAACCAGCTAACAGGAACCCGATCGAGGCGGCTATCCCGATGATCGTAATTAGAAAGTAGGCTTTATCGTCCTCTATCCCACTCTCTATGAGATAATCGCTGGCTGTGACGTAAACCGTCACTGTGCCGATGCTCCAGAGGAGCGTACTGACGCCGAAGATGAGTACCTTGACGTCACGTAGCAACGTGACGTCACATGCGGGCATCTTAGCGGCTGGTGCGTTGGACAAAGGCCGCAGGAGGACACCACAGAGCACGAGATTCAGGGCTATGCCACCGTTTATTAGCATAGAGCCGCGCCAGCCATAAGCCTCCGTCAGATTGCTATAGATTAAAGGGAAGGCAAGAGTCCCAAACCCAGCGCCCCTGCACGCGCCGGCTGTAGACAGGTAGCCCCATCTATTAAAATAGTTTCCCGCCATAACCATGCATGGAG